GGTAACAACTTACTCTTTTGCGATTTTCAAATTTCAATTTATCTAACTTAAAAATTACCTTCCAACCTCAAAACAATAAATTAAATCTTCATAAATTAATAGTTACTATTACTAATATTTCATTAAATAAGAAAAACTCAATCTTCTATTAAACTCTCTGATTTGAGAACTTAATGCTCTAAACTTTAATTTACTAACAAAACATCAAATGAGGAATCAAGGGTTTACTTGGTATCATCATTGATCCGATAATATGATGTAACCATGACAAGATTAACAATTTTATTAATCTACTCACCATCTACCCTGGTAACTATTAGGTCACTTATAATTCAGAGCTGATCAATTAACTATAAACAATTGAAAGTCACAACCATTTGGATCATCAACACAATCATGAACAATAAGTCAATATTCATTTCATTTACCTGCGAATCAATGATAACAATTAACTAATAATTAAAAATTACTACCTCCTTGCAAATACAATCACATTTTGATTGGTGAAAAATATCTTAATTGTCTAATAATCTCGTTTCTAATGCTTGTAATGTTAATGATCTTAAAGTTAATTTAGAGCCAACAATTAATTTTGACAATGACATTGTATTTATAAATACAAATTATTTAAGATTAAATAATCGTTAATCAATTGTTGAAACCCATCATATGCAAGCAAAAATTAACAAAATTGCAAATTCTAAAATAAAAATGGTTAAACCTCGAATTTTATATTGTTAATTATCTAACTGATTTGACTTTAACCTGAATTATTATACTCATCGTTTCTGTTAAATAATTAAACCACACAATTAAGTCTTTCTATTTAATAAGGTAAAAAATATTTCATTTAATCAAATTGACAATCATTGTAACGATACATCGAATAAGATGAGATCAGTTTAATCACATTCATAGATAAGTGTTAGTTACAATTAGCACCGATGGTTAACTGATCAATCGCTTTTTAAGGTTAGATGATCAACCGGTAGGTCAACAGCATCAGGTTAAGATTAGGTTAGGTCAGGCTAAGGCTCAACAGATTTAATCCTCATGTGCTTTAAATCATTGAATGCAATTAGTTTAGAACAATAATAAATAAGATTAAAATATTCAAATATAATAGCTTCAAAATAATATGGCAATTAACTCCCATCATCAACAATTCACTAACCTTTAACCAAAGGTAAATTAAAATGAGAAACATTTTAATGATCAGCAATAGGAACCAAATAATTATTGTCAAATAATTTTAAATTACCTGACTTAATTATTATGAACAAATTAACAACAACAAATTCATTTTATTTTGACAAACAAAATCACAATTACAAGGAGTAAATAATATAAATTATCCAACCTGAAGATCAATTTTTTAATCAATGATCCCTTAGTTTAGATGAAATAATTTATTAATTCTAAGAAATTAAGTGCTTGTTACTTAACTTTGACGATCTAGTTTGATTCAATGATTATCACCATCACCATCTTAATGATCAATCAACTCTTGAGATTACAATTTAATGAATTAATTAAAAGAAAACAAGAAGCGAAATCAAACCTTATTACCATCAAATATAAATTGATTAACAATTAGTTTAAATATTAAATTGTATCCTTTTCATCATCATTTGATTTTAACCCTTCAGATTACTTACCAAAACGATTCACGAAATACAAAATGATAAAATAACAATTAACCATTTAAGACAATTATTAAAACTTTATTAAGCCAGCATTAAAAAACCTCCTTTATTCCTTAAAGAGGAAAAAGCTTAACCAATTTAATCAAAATTACATCATTAAATAAACATAATCATGATTTATCTGCTCCAAATTAACAGTTAGGAATCTAATATAAACTGGGCAAGTACGATTAAAAGCATTATGCTCAATAGAGTTACAATTAATACACTTTGTCGCACCTCGATTGACACATTGACGACTATTATGACGCTCCGAACAGTATCCAAAACAGTTAAACGATGACACTTTACCTTTGTATGTCCAAACCTACAACAATTGTCGCATGAAACCAAGTCTAGATGATCCAAAGCGTTCAATTTACCGTATGGAGTTTTAATTACTCCCCTCGATTCCTCAAAATGATTCTATTACCAATGCGAGTTTCAATCCTTCCGCGATAACTTACACGGATTGTTAACCATCACTTTAGCAATCAATATATTACTCTTTTTCACTGAACTTACGTCCAAGATAGCAAGTTCGTTAACAATTGGACTTACACGATAACTAATTCCAATAGACATCACGAATTACATATAGAACATAAATAAATCTTATAGAAGTAGACAAATAAAAAACAAAGAGTCAAATAACAAAAATATACAAAATATGACCTATTGAACCGCGAAATATAAAAAATTAACTAACTTAACACATTTTCAATTATGCCGACTACAACTTATAGAAATAATGGATTTTGAAATTGAAACATAAGTAATTAAATACTAACAAAAGAGTATAAATAGAAAAATCTAATCAACAAACCTTCATTGTTAAATCAACAATAAATAGAATCAGTTAAGATACTTTTATACAGTTGTCATACAAAATGGAAATTCAAGATATTCCCACTAACTGGCTCACGTTAAACATCTTCCAGTCCGACATTTTATTACAATTAAAAGTGAAAAACGAACAACTTCAGGACCAGAATTACTAAAATTCATCCACCCATGGCTCGAACAAAACAAAAATATAAAGATGGAAAGAATAATCTATAATAAAAAAATCAAGTTAACATTTGAAAACACTGAGGATAGAGAAACAATTATTCAAAGGATTAATGATACCAGACTCAAAGTTAATTATCAAATATGATGCTGACAAACCGCTGATTAAACTGGATTACAATATTGGAAAAGTCGAAATTGGTAACTTAGACGAAATCCTGGAAAAATGGTTCGAGTCACTCAGGGCACAAAATCCTTGGCCTGACGACTCAAATGTTAACATAAACTGGACCAACTATGACAAAACCTTCATGCAGATTATACTGGAAGTCGACCCTAAAATTCGAAAATTTATAGAATACAATAAAGGTATTATATTCTCTTCACTTGGACCCATGGAACCACATGACGTAAATCCAGTAAGACAATGTGAACGATGTTTCAAGTTCGAACATTTTGGATCTGCTAAAATCTGTATCTTTAAAATATGTTTCATATGTAGAGAAATACATTACCCAGCTGATTGTGTCCACAGTAAAGAATGCTGCTTCAACTGTGAGAATTTTGAACACATATCAAACTCTTACGATTGTCCCCATTTCCAAGAACAATTAACGGAGAAATTGGGAAGTGTAGACTATGATTACGATTACTTTATGAAATAGAAATACAAGACCAAGCTTTTTCCCTGTAACTAGGGTTTTTTAATGCGGTCAAGAAATATAACCTTTAATGTAAGGTAATTTGTAGGATTCAACGACAATTAGCTTACCTAATGAATTCGATAGCGGAAGAAAACACAATTAATATTGAAATTAATAAACAAACACACAAACAATGTAAAGAAACACTAGAAATACATGAAATCCTAAATGAAATAGAAACAATTAACACCTACAAAAACAAAATGATAAAAAAATTAAAGCAATAGGTTTGGTTCTTTTTGGAACATCGGGTTTTCAGTTAATTTTATCGCTGACGTATTGTCATTAAAAATAACAAAGGGACGACTGACGTTCCTTCCAAAACCAATCTCATCAACCAATTGCTTTAAGTATGTTACCTCATTTGTGGGTTCTGACAAAGCGATGTATTCACTTTCCGTCGAACTTTGTGCCACAACCGATTGTTTCTTTGAATTCCAGGCAACCAAACCATTTCCCAATTTGAAGCAATATCCTGAGTAGCTTTTACTGTCTTTCTTATCCATGGCCCAATCCGCGTCCGCATATCCAACCAAGTTGACACTGACGTCGTCAGCGTCACTGACGTTGACGTCACTCGAGATATTTCCAAAATGAATAGACAAATCTATTGTTCCTTTCAAATATCTCAGAATCCTTCTTGCAGAATTCCAGTGATCCGACGTTGGACATTGGTTAAACTGAGCTAATCTATCAATATTAATTGTGTTAAATCAACACGATTATCATTTAGTATTCACCTGATCCAGTTATTTCAAGTTCAATTTCACCTCCATTGTCAACATCTTCCAATTCATCCCATGGTTCAGAATTATCTAAATGTTCATCTAATGTAATTAACAAAGATAATTCTAATAGTAATCATCACGACAATACAATTATATCAAGTCCATTGATGCAAACTATTCCAAACCAAAAATACAGTTAAATGAACCTCTGCCCACCGACAACAAAATCATCACAGTTACTTTCAACCAATGGATCAAATCATTAAAAGATAAATTAAATGATAGTGAAAATAATTTAATGGCTGCAAGTTTTTATCAATCAGGTAATCATAAATATCTTGATTTGATTGGCAGATGATCAATTTTATCATGGACTGGACTAGTTAATCTTTGCTTCATAATTATAATTCACAATTAATTGTATACTAATTGGAAATAAGCCAAAGAGTAAAAAACTCGTTACTCTTTGGTTTAAGTCGTTTGAATCATAAGAAAATCACAACGATTCGGTATATTCATCTTCATCTTCATTATTATTCTCATCAGATGTTAATAATAACAATAATAATAGTATAAAAGTGGTAATAATAATGTTGATCGGTCAACCAGGTCAACGAAAGACTCGATCCTCGATTCCCTGTTAATCCAGTCCTGTGATCATCTCTGTTTAAAAGCCATCATCCTGATGCATGATGACCATCAGAAAAATTTGATCCTTGGCTATCTCTTAGCCTGAATTCCCATTCAAGAGGTAGACCTCGAAGCGGAATAAAGAGACGAGCGATTTTGTCTGTCGCTCAGAGATAAGGGTTAGAAAGAAATTTCCAGGGACAATTTCCAAGTATTAATACATCTCCAAATCTGATAGGAAAAAATTAGCTCAAGAATTAGGATTAAAAGATGCTCAGATAAAATTAATTGTTCCATTCTGCCTTTTGGATTGTCTTTCCTCGTCAATTTATCAATTAATCATGATAAAAACAAGTTTCAAGTTGAAGTCATTATTCAAGTGAATCTTAATCAGCTGTTAGAATAAGGAAATCATTCACTAATAGTACAGAATTTGTTGTATTTTTTGTTTTTAATTAATTAGTTTTCCAATTTCGTCAATTGATTTAAATCTCTGGCTTGAATGGCTTTAAAAAATATCAAAGTAATCGAATTGGCTGGTTTAGCTCCAGCTCCTTTTTGTGGGTTAATTTTAAGTGATTTTGGAGCTGAAGTTATTAAAGTTGATAAGGTAAGTTAGTTGACAATAAATTGGTAACTGATTTAGCGATTTAATCAATTTTGTTGATTTCTTTTGCAAGATCGGAGGAGATCCGTTGAAGTGTTTACTAAGTCGAGGCAAAAAAGGCCTTGAAATTGACCTGAAACGTTCGGAAGGGATCAAATTGATGGAGAAACTTTGTTCCAAGGCTGATGTTTTGATCGAACCTTACAGACCTGGGGTCATGGAGAAAATGGGATTAGGGCCTGAACAACTAATGAAATCAAATAAACGTCTAATTTATGCTCGACTTTCTGGTTATGGTCAACAAGGTCCATTTTCACGTCTAGCGGGTCATGATATCAATTATCTCGCAGTGTCAGGGGTTCTTTCGTTACTCAAAGATTCAGGGACAGAATCTATTCCTCGTCCGCCGATTAATCTTCTTGCTGATTTCGCCGCCGGTGGGCTTTGTGTGCACTTGGAATAGCCATGGCTTTGGTGGAGAGAAACACATCGGGTCTTGGTCAAGTGGTTGATGCAAATATGACCGAAGGCAGTAGTTATCTAGCTACGTGGATTCGTGAGTCAAAAGCTCATCCATTTCTTAGCTCATTCATTTGGCCTAATAACGACAAACCCGGTGAAAATACTCTCGATGGTGGAGCTCCGTTTTACTCAGTCTATAAAACAGCGGATGAGAAATTCATGGCTGTTGGTTCATTGGAACCTCCATTCTTTGCCCGATTGGTTGATAAGGTTGGTCTTGAAGGCGATTTTAGTCCTGGAATAATCGACCCGGCGATGAAACAGCAATTGGAAGAAAAATTTTCAAAGAAAACACAAAACGAGTGGATCGAAATCTTCAGAGATGTTGATGCTTGTGTCACGCCAGTGGTCAATTTTGACGAAGCGTCACAATTTAGTCACAACAAGGAAGCGAAATCATTTCTTTCCGATGGATCACCGATTCCAGCACCAAGACTTAATCGTACCACAGCTAATCCAGTTTTAGTCGAAAGACAAATAGATAATCTTCGTGATTTCCTCGTTGATCATCAACTTGAAAACACAGAAATCGACTATTTAATAGAGAACAATATTGTTGCTCTTCCTCTGACCAACTCGAAACTCTAATCAAATATTAATCAAATAACCCAATTAATTCAAGTCTATTTTCTAAAAATATAAAAATTAATCAATTATTAATCGTCAATAATTAGCTTGAAGTTTAATTTTCAGGTTGAAAATATGTTATTGAATCAAATTGTTATTCAATACAAGATAATTGTGATACAACAATTTATTGATTAAAATTGTTAACTTTATTGTTAACGTTTATACGTTTAAATGAGTTTCGAAACTTTTTATGAAGTTCGTTATTTTCTAAACCAGGGCAACTACATTGATAGAAAAAATTGATGTTTAACTTGTTTGATCGGCAAAATGTTTTGACTCGATTAAAACTGTCAATAGTTAGCGAGTGGCCGAGTCCATTATCAATCACCAATACTGATAAATGAGGCAGTAGTTCGATTATATTGGTTAATTGTGATTCCGTTAAGGTTCCATCGATTCTAAGATATCGAACATTAGGAAATTTTTCCACAATTGGAATTATATCGTATCCATACTAGAATAAAAATGAGAGAAAATTAAAATAATCAAAATAAATTTGATGATCGACGTCAGCGACTTACCGAATGATCAAGATTGATAAATAATCCTTGTAAATTGTCGTTTTTAATGTCACTATCTATTTGGATTCTTTCGGTGCACTTAGGAAGAATCAGAGTGAGATTTCGTAAATTTGGACAAAAGTCTAGAATTCGAGTGACAAAACATAGCCTACTACCATTAAAGATATAGAGAGATTCAAGCTTCTCGAAAATTGGTCCATCGTAGGTTGAAATACGATCTAAAAAAGGGATAAAAAATTACCAAACTGAACAGACACCAAGAGACGAATTAAAAAACTTACTATGCTCTCTATTTTGGTACAAAGTATTGATGAAGAGTAGTTTAAGATTGGTCATGGAATCGGCGAAATTTAAAACATGGGACAAATCTATTGATAAATCCATACGATTACCAAGACGTTTCAATTTGTTGTGATTACCATAAGCTTGAAAATAATTTTCCACCAGAAGATTAACATTAGTTGTTAAATGTTCAATATCTTCCAAATAGGGTATTATGAATTGAAGCAAATTCTCTATGATTGGACATGAATGCGAAAATCTTATAGAAGAACATGTAAAGATCAGTTGAGTGATTGGATTTCCAGTGGCAAGTAAATTCGCTAATGCTGAGCATAAGTTTTGTACCTCATCACGTGTATCAGAGAATTTAATTTTCTTTAAACAAAACAGAAATTAAATCAATTAATTGGGATTAAATTTTCTAGTCTTTTTCATACCTTAACATTTGGCAGAAATTGAGAGAGTTTAATACTCTCAAGAAGCACGAGGTCATTAGAGAGAATACATTTACCATACCATTTAATCTTGAAACAATAGTTACTTAGCGAGTGACGAGCAATATCTAAATTTAGAAAAAAATAAAAACAAATTGTCATAACAATCAACAAGAAAAACAAAGCAAAATGAATCATTGAACTTACATTTTAAGCAGGTAACTTTGCGTAGTCTTATTTGAACCAATTTTTTCCATCTTTTACACACTGATTATCCAGAAATCAAAAAGAAACAATGAATATTAATTAGCAAATTAACTGTAACCACAAGATAAACAATTACTTTTAACTACCTTATAACTACAACAAATTACTTTTTTCTTACCTTTTGTTAACTTCGGAAACGAACCAAGATCAGAAAATTTGTCAAAAATCAAAAGTAAACAATCATCAGATAAATCATTTAGATTCATATTAGTCCTCTAACTGTCCTAAGCTTTTTAAATTAAAATGCCAACAATTAAATAAAAAAAGAAAACAAAATAATCAAGAGAATTGTAGTCAACAAGTTGTTGATGATTAAGAGTTAATTTTTTGAATTTGATTCAATTGAATGAACATAAGATCAATAGTATCGAATTTACAAGTTCGATTAATCGAGTTTTCATTTTTTGGAAAATTTTAAATTTTAAAAATTTAATTTTTATTGTTGCTTAAATGTTGTTACAATGTTGTTGCTTGATTGTGATGAAAAAGTTAACGATGAGGTGACAATCAACTTCAATATTAATTGTGTTAAATCAACACGATTATCATTTAGTATTCACCTGATCCAGTTATTTCAAGTTCAATTTCACCTCCATTGTCAACATCTTCCAATTCATCCCATGGTTCAGAATTATCTAAATGTTCATCTAATGTAATTAACGAAGATAATTCTAATGGTAATCATCACAACAATGATACAATTAAAAAGGAAGATACAATTACAATCGAGAATTTTATTTCTATTTTCTCAAAACATAAACTATAAAAATCAATCAATTATTAATCGTTAATAATTATCTTGAAGTTTTGTTTTCAGGTAAGAACATGTTATTGAATCATATTGTTCACCTTAAATGTTTGTTATCAAAACTCTCATTCAATACACGAGAATTGTGATACAACAATTTATTTTGTAAATTGTTAACTATAAACGTTTAAATGAGTTTCGAAACTTTTTATAAAGTTCGTTATTTTCTAAACCAGTGAGATAACATTGATAGAAAACATTGATGTTTGAATTCTTTGATCGGCAAAATGTTTTGATTTGATCAGCCTTAGTTGGCGAATAATTGATTCCATCAGAAATCACAAATACTGATAAATGAGGAAGTAGTCTGATAATTTTAGTTAATTGTGATTCCGTTAAGGTTCCATCGATTCTAAGATATCGAACATTAGGAAATTTTTCCACAATTGGAATTATATCGTATCCATACTAGAATAAAAATGAAAGAAAATTAAAATAATCAAAATAAAGTGATGATCGATATCAGGGACTAACCGAATAACCAAGAGTGATAAATAATCCTTGTAAATTGTCGTTTTTAATGTCACTATTTATTTGGATTCTTTCGGTGTTCTGAGTAAAGATCAGAGTGAGATTTCTTAAATTTGGACAAAAGTCTAGAATTCGAGTGATAAAACATAGCCTTGTACAATTAAAGATATAGAGAGATTCAAGCTTCTCGAAAATTGGTCCATCGTAGGTTGAAATACGATCTAAAAAAGGGATAAAAAAAATTCTCGAACTGAACAAACATCAAGAGATGAAGCAAAAACTTACTTAAATGTTCACTATTTCTACTATCGATGAAAAGTAGTTCAATATTGGTCATGGAATCGGCGAAATTCAAAACATGGGACAAATCTATCGATAAATCTAAATGATTACCAAGACTTTTCAATTTGTTGTGATTACCATAAGCTTGAAAATAATTTTCCACCAGAAGATTAACATTAGTTATTAAATGTTCAATATTTTCCAAATAGGGTATTATGAATTGAAACAAATTCTTCATGATTGGACATGAATGCGTAAAAATTTGATCATTAATTGTGAAGATCAGTTGAGTGATTGGATTTCCAGTGGCAAGTAAATTCGCTAATGCTGAGCATAAGCATTGTTCGTAATCATTAAATTTGTAGAAGTTAATTTTCTTTTAACAAAACAGAAATTAAATCAATTAATTGGGATTAAATTTTCTAGTCTTTTTCATACCTTAACATTAGGCAGAAATTGAGAGAGTTTAATACTCTCAAGAAGCACGAGGTCATTAGAGAGAATACATTTACCAAACAATTTAGGCTTGACACGAAAATCTTCTAGCGAAGAAGTAGCAATATCTAAATTTAAAAAATAAAAACAAATCGTCATAAAAATCAACAATCAACAAGAAAAACTGCAAAATAAATCATCAGTTATCATTGAACTTACATTTCAAATAGATAACTTTGCGTAGTCTTATTTGAACCAAATCTCTCCATCGTTTACACACTAATTATCCATAGATCAAGAAGAAACAATTAAAATTAATTAGCAAATTAACTGTAACCACAAGATAAACAATAAAAAATTACTTTTTTCTTACCTTTTGTTAACTTCGGAAACGAACCAAGATCAGAAAATTGGTCAAAAATCAAAAGTAAACAATCATCAGGTAAATCATTTAGATTCATATTAATCTTCTAACTATCCTGAGCTCTTTGGATTAAAATGCCAACCATAAAATTAAAAGGGAAAACAAAATGACCGAGATAATTGTTGTCAACAAGTTGTTGATGATTAAGAGTCAATTTCTTGAATTTGAATCAAATTATTTGATTCAATTGAATGAACATAAGATCAATAGTATCGAATTTACAAGTTCGATTAATCGATAATCGATGTATCGAGTTTTCATTTTTGGAAATTTTTTTCTGTTGTTGATTAAATGTTGTTACAAGTTCCTGAATGAAATAATATTAATTACAATTTGTGGTTTATAAATAAATTTTTGTTTCCAATTATTTTTGTATAAATATTTAGTTGGGATTAAGATCGTTTCGGGTGTAAGGTTTTTAATGATATTCTTGGAATGCTGTTGATAAGTGTAAACATTGATGGCAAATGTTTATGATAAACCACAACCATTGGTTTGTTTAAGTGATCGGGGCGGCGGAGTTAACAATTTAAATCGAAATGATTCTGAGCCTAATTGTCGTTTAACCAATAATGATACTGGTTTAAGAGATGGTCCATCAAAATGGTGGGAGTTTAATAAACCCTGGAGATGGTTATTTCCATCAAGATCTTCATCTAGAAAGAAAATTACAAAAGTAACATCAACCTCAACCTCATCATCTTCATCTTCATCTTCATCATCATCATTATCATCTCGTTGGTCTAGTCTTACTTTACCTTCTTTAAAGATAAAAGAGAAAGTATCCAATATCTATTATAAATATGGTTTACTCTGTTCGACTTATCCATGGTTGATTATTCTTCTCACTTTTACAATTTTCTCCTTTTGTGTTTATCCAATTTTGGGTATTCACTCATTTACCAATAATTATCTTCAAAAGTATGTAACCCCGTTGGACAATTTTTATATTCATGGTAAACCCGTAAAAGATTCATCATCTTCTTACTCAGCCAATCATCATTCTCATTCATCTCATCCTCATCATTATCCCAATCATCAACATCAACCCAATTTGGAGGTTATTAAAGATCCACCAAGATGGGTAAGAAAATTTCCTTCTTTTCACGTTTTCTTTTCTCTCTAATCTAATGATCATCGGTCTCTAATGATCTTAACATGAACTATAATCAAATTAAAACAAGTGCTATTCCATCACCTAACACCCTGTATAGTACAAAAACGGCTATGGAATAATAATAATAATAACAATCCATCAATCAGTTTGATTTTTCATCTTTTTGTTTTTTTCTTCTTCTACTTAAACATTTGCTCTCCTCGTTCGTGTGTCTTGTGTTTCATCATCATTCTCATTAATTTCTACCTTTCCAATTAATTTTTCTCTGTGATAAAACAATAATAATAATCTAATCGAATTGTTTGTTACTCACTATTTCTATTAACAGTTCCAATCAGGAGCACCTTATGCAATTATCCAACAGATTATCATAAAGTCCGCTGTTATCCCATGGAAAAACAATCATATTCTTATGGATGCAATTCGTGCACCATTGGCACAAGTTTTCCCTATTCTTGAATTTTTATCTAATTTTCAAACAGATTCAGGGTAAGAATTTAATCATTTATATTGACAATGTATATTCCCTCCTTTTTGCTTTCTTGTTTATCTTTTTCTCCTTCTCGTTCTGGCTTAATCCCTTTACCCATGATAATACACATTATGTATTCACACTTTTACACTTAAATCTACTAACTTGAAAAGTAAAATTAATCTCTCATCCAATTTAATATTTCAAGGTAATCAATAAGTTAATATCTTCAATATTTCAACCATTATTGAGAAACAACAACCTGAAACTTTCATGCTCGTAGCAATTTGTCACTAAAATAATCCAAAATTCATTCATATTCTTTATATTTACAAATAATATTATCAAATCTCTATGAAATTGAGTTTTCGTTTTTCACAGGAATTGAGGCTCAATTACATTTAGATAAATGACAGATGAGGAAATTGCCTACGATAATTGTGACTCTCAACGATCGTAATCATTTCATTACTCTATCCAATTGATAAATTGTATGGCAAAGGAAAGTTCTTTGTATTCAATTAACTGAAATTAGTTATAAGGCATAAAATCATTTCTCTCGTAACCCGTTTAACAAGATTATGTTTAAATAATCAAGGCCAAACAATTTTTTCTACTATTGGTGTTTTTATTTATTCTATTTATAAATTTACTCATTTTTCTCCTGAATAATAATCATTACATTTAACAGTTAAATTACTCATAATTAACAATTATATTGGTTTATTTACTTTATGTTAGATATTAATCTTTTCTTTTCTTTCTTCTTTTGTTTCAATTTTGTTTCTTTTCATTGACAGATCTAAATCAGTGAGCCTGAACGATATTTGCCTTCAAATCAATGAGCCAATTGGTTATTCAGACAATTCTGCTTCCAATATACTTCCAAGATACAGTTGCCTTCTTTTTTCTCCTGCCAATATTTGGAAAAATGATGTAGACAAATTCCGTCAGGATGCAACCATAATCAAGACCATTTTCAATACTAAAGACTTTAGTTACCTTGACTCAGGTAACCTGAGAGAGATTCTATTTGGTGTACCATGGATGGAAACCGGAATCCGACCTTTTTACGTTCGCACACGACAAAGAACATTAACCTTTGCTATTACCATTGCATTTTCGGGTTATAATAAAATGTTCTTTGAAAATTTACGTAAACAACTTCGTGATCGTTATCCTGTTAATCCACTTTGGGAGAATCGTCATGATGACAATAAGAATAACAATACCAATGGTCTTGCTGATTATTCATCTGATTCACCTCCAATTGTTACTCATCTTCATTTTCAAAATAGTTTCACTTTTTCCGTTAGTTCACCAATCATTGGTTGCTACATCTTTTTGTTTTTTTATATCTACTTTTCAGTTCGTGAGTTAAACTGATTTTTCATGTTAATTTTATCTCCCCAATTCAAGCTATCCAATTAATTGATACTTTTTCTTATCATTTCTTTCATTATATTGACGTTTTCTTGATTTTAGGTAAAATTGATCTTATCAAATGCAAATGGGCTTTAGCTGCGAGTTCTGTCCTTACTGTTGTTATGTGTTTACTTATGACTCTCGGAATCTGCTCATGGTTTGATTTTAATCCAACTCTTGATGGAAGTGAGATTTTCCCATATCTCATTGTTATAATTGGTATGTTTCGATTCTTGATTGGTCGTCATATAATCATCATATTAGTTTTCGATTTGCATTCTCAATTGACAGAAAGAATAGATGAAAAAGCAAATCTACTCTTTCTCTGTCTCACCATCATCATTATCGCCATTTCGATGATTATCTATGATCATTCATCATATAAATCATAATTATAAAAATCATTCACCAGGAAGATAATTAATTTATATGCAGCAACTTCGAAAACTATTATGTAATCAATATCAACTGTATATGGAAACAGAAAAAATTTCATAATGAATTTTTTTACTCTCTTTACCCTGATCAGGCTTAGAAAATATTTTGGTACTCACTCAATCCGTTATTGCGACTCCAGCCCATTTGGACGTTAAAGTTAGAGTAGCTCAAGGACTAAGTCGTGAAGGTTGGTCCATGAACAAAAATCTTATCGCTGAATTAGGACTTTGCGTATTTGGTTACTTTACTTTTGTTCCTGTGATTCAAGTATGTTTGCCAATTAGATGAAGATTTTTTTTCTGTTTCTTAATTAGTCTTTATCTTTAATATCTACTTTAGGAATTCTGTCTCTTTGGCATGATCGCTCTTCTTTGTGATTTCTTTCTCCAAATGACTATTTTTATTACGCTACTTTCAGTGGACATTCAAAGAGTCGAGGTGAGTCTTGATAATGTTAATTGGCACTACTGTTGGTGCTTATGTAGTAAATTTCCTTAACACTTTGTTTTCTTATCTTTTTGCTTAATATGCAACAACAGCTCGACGGGAGACCCAAGAAAACATCTCACTCAGCAAATGATTCTAAAAACAAAATGAATCAAGCATTTGAACAAGGGTATGTGATATAACAATTATCTTTAATAATCTAATTACGGAAACAGTAACTTAAAAAACATGTAATAATTATCTTAATTTCATCATCAGATCTCATCCATATGATTCGGATTCATCTCGATTAAATTCAATTTCTTATTGGTCCAAATCAAGCCACATGAAACTACCCAAAAGATTAAGATTAGTTTATTTTTGGACTCGCACTCGAATGGCTCACAGATTTCTCATGATGGCCTTAATTGTTTGGATTAGTATTTTACTCTATCGATCAACAGTTTCAGACCATTACAACCAACCTGATGACGAACCAATGATAAAAGCTCAAGACGCTAAATTATCCGCACAACAATCAGTTTCCCATCAAATTCCCGCTCCGATTGAATCAACATCTAAAACATTAAAAGAAAACGATTATGAGGCTTCACAGCATCGATTAAAATACTCTAACAGAGATCCACGAGAATTACTTTCTTCTCACAATTGGTTTACTCTATTCGGCTTTTACAACATTTCCCTTTCCGGAAAATATTTATCTTTCCTGCCACCAATTCACTTGGCCATACCCGTTGATCCAACGGAGGCACATAAGATTAGACATCCATCAGAAAGTGATCCTCAAATATTTCGACAATTTTTATATCCTGGTAGTATTCATGCTTCTTTTGACCAGAACGATGATTGGGATGAATTTTCTTACGATGCATCAAATGATCTCAGTAATCGACCTCATTGGTCTCCTAGAGAGATTCTCCTCGCTTTACTCCTCTCCACACCTACGCTTACATTTATCATCTACATTTTGGTTACCATGTATCGGTGTATGTGTTCCCGTCGTTACGATGAGTGGCGAAGCTCATGGTCATCTAGTAATCAATCTAAAGGTCAAGACATTTCACGACACAAGATTGACGATTATTTCTTGGAAACCATGTTAGTTAAACGACAAGCTCATCAAGATGAAATCGAAATGGTTGAATGTTCAAATGAATCACCTTATGTTGTTTCCTGCTCCATGGAGGGTGATCTCAGAGTTTGGGATGTTCTTTCTGGTGAATGTCATCTATTAATCCAACGATCACAATCAACGGACTTAATTCAACTTGATGAAAACAAGCAGACAACAACGGCAACCGCAGCAACAACATCAACATTTAAACCTCACCATAAGCCAAGTTCTAGTTTCTCATCTGATTCAACTTATGGTTCATCACCAAGCACAAGTTCAGGTGATTGTGTTGAACAATCATTTCTACCTTCAAATTTTGATCCATCCACTTTGATTAACAATCGTATCTCGAAATCAACAGTTGACAAATCGAAAATCGGTTACGATTTTAAGCCCTTCTATTCTCGCCTCAATTCATCTAAAAATCTTATCTCTGAACTGATTGTTAACGCTGCCGCTTCCAGTGATATCGACGTTAATCCGTACGAGATTACGGCAAATCTTAAACGTGAATCTAATCTATCATTTCAACAGATTTGGTGTCTTGATGTATATGAGAGATTTATTTTAGTTGGTTGTGCCGAAGGTCGTTTTGAGATTTGGGACACACTGACAGGTCTTAATCACTACAATCAAGAATGTGTGACCGGAATAACCGTTATTAAAGCTCGTTCTGGTAAACTGGTAATCGGTCGGTTAAATGGTATTTGTGAAATCTATCAAATTGAGAATCATTTTCGACCAGAAAATAATAGCTGTTATATTTTATCATCATCTTCATCATCTACATTAACATCTTTATCCATATCATCATCAATATCATCTTCATCTTCATCTTCAACGACTTACATAAATAATACTAACACTCCACCTCAATCATCCTCATCCTCATCATCAGATCAACAACCCTACCAAAAGCAAATGCTCAATACTTATCTTATTCATTCAATTCGTGCCCACAGTCAGCCCATAACTGCACTACAATTAGACTCTAGTCATTTAATAACCGGAAGTGCAGATCATTTAATTAAAGTTTTCAAATTGGAAACAGGATCATGTAGTTACACTCTACATGGGCACTTTGGTGGTATCAGTTGCCTTGAAATTGATAAGGTAAAACAAACATTTACGTCATGATACCAATCAACTAATTATTAACAATTATTATCTTTATTTTTCTCTCTCATTTCAAAGACAACATCCAATTCAGCACTAAGTGGTTGTAAAGTTGGTCAAGTTTGTCTCTGGGATTTGACCACAGGAACTTGTTTATTCAACTTGGAAGCTCATGCAGACGCAGCAGTGACCGCACTTCTTACCACAAGTTTATACGCGATAAGCTCAGGGACAGATAATAAAATCAACATTTGGGATAAATACTCAGGTCATCTTGTTCATTCACTACCAAATGTAAGCACAAAATTTTACCGTTAGAATCAGTTGATCATTTAGACAGTTAATTTATTCATTTGTTTATTTTTTTTTCGTAGCAACGATCATTTTGCTGTGGGATGGTACCTTTGACACCTAATATATTGATCACTGCCAAAGAGGATCATCTCATCTTATGGGATTTAAGTGAAGCTACTCCTCTAAGAATAATTAACTTAAGCTCATTTGGAGATAATAAAAGTTCTTGTATCAAGAATTTACGAATTGCGAACAAAAGTCGAGCAGTAATAGCCGATTATGGGAAAAACATTTGCATCATTCACTTTCCTGGTGTTACCCAGAAAAGTGATTGATTTAAACAACAATTATCATCAAAATCATCAACCATTATTGTAATAATCATCTCAATTTTTTGTGTCAATTTTGTTTCTCTAACTAATGTAATCATTAAATAAAATCAATTACATTTGTAATATAAACTAAACTTTAAAAAGATGAAGTTTAATTGCTACTAGTAATTTAAAACCTTCTATTATCAACCATTCAATGGAACTTGAAAAACAATCAATTAAATCAATTCTTTAATCATCTCAACTTGAATTAAGTGCAGCAGAATTAAAACTAATTCTATTATTAGAATCAGAGTTAAATTGTTACTATCGCTAATTATGATAAAATCCCTTTTCCATTATGACGTAACTTGAATTTCTTGGTTTGTTTTGATTGTCAAGTGAATTCAGGGTAATGTTTATGGGGAATTTACTCCTATTGGAAATACTAATAAACTACCAAAGATTATCAAATAATCTGAATTAATCGTCATAGAAAACAATTAAAGATGGTAATTAACCGAACTACAATTAATTCATCCAGTTAATTTGGTCTTTCATGATTAAATTTGTGCCTCTCATTTATCGTGATATCAGAATGAGAAAATGTTTCAATACTAATTGTACTCCAACGGATCTATTGATATAATTTATATTTTATAATTTAATTAATTCCTTTTGATTTCCAGTTAATTGTTATTCTTTAAATGTCTATTTCAATTTTTACTCGTTCTTCCAATCGATTGAGATTATCATCGTTTCAACAAGTGATCTTATCGTCTCTAAATCAAGAGAAATGTTCTCAACGTTGTATCAACTTTTTATATTCCAATGATTGTTATTATCAAAAACAACAATTAACTTCATTTAGTTCATCGTCTTGTTCATCATTTAGCTTTGAACCCTCACAAGAAACTCGGGAGATGATTGAATTGGCTCGATCTTTCACCCGAGAGAAGATCATTCCAATCGCTGGTGAACATGATAAAACCGGTGAATTTCCATGGATCTTATTGAGAAAATTCATTCTCTCGGTTTGATGAATTTCTTTATTCCATTGGATTATGGTGGCCTTGGTGTTGATTTTGTTGATAGTTTATTAATTCAAGAGCAATTGGGTTATGGTTGCACGGGGATTAGTATGGCGATGGCTTTGAATGGATTAACGGGATCGTCGATAGTTAAATATGGTTCAATTAGACAGAAGGAAAAATATTTAACTCATTTAGCAAAAAAACCTTCATTTACTGCCTTTTGTGTTACCGAACCGGGAACGGGATCAGATGTGGCCGGAATTCAGACCTCAGCTAAACCAGTTTCACCCACTGAGTGGGTACTTAACGGTGAAAAGGCCTGGATTAGTAACGCGTCAACGGCTGATGTTTACTGTGTTCTCGCTCGATCCGCTCAATCAGCCGATGTCCGACCAAGTCAAGCATTCACCATGTTTCTAATTGATAAAGGTACACCCGGTGTGAGAATTGGTAAAAAAGAGATCAATCTAGGCCAAAGATGCGCCGACACCCGATCAATTAGTCTGGATAATGTTAAACTAACAAGTGAATCAATTCTTGGATCAATTGGTGAAGGTTTCAAAATAACAATGGCCGCTTTTGACTATCAACGTCCAATATTAGCCTGTAATGCAGTCGGTTTAGCTCAACGGGCTCTCGACGAGGCCACTAAATATGCCTTGGAAAGACAAGCCTTTGGAAAACCAATCGCTAATTACCAAGCAATACAATTTAAATTGGCAAACATGGCCATAGGAATTGAATCAGCTCGTCTTGTTTACATGAAGGCCGGTTGGGCCTATCAAACGGGCCAACCGATCACTCTTTTGGCCTCAATCGCCAAGACATTGGCCGCCGATGTGGCCAACCAAAGTGCCACTGAGGCTGTTCAAGTGTTCGGTGGGTCGGGATTCAACAGTGATTATCCGGTGGAAAAGCTTATGAGAGATGCTAAATTGTTTCATATCTACGGTGGTACAGTTGAAATTCAACGAATGGTAATCGCTCGAGAGATAATTAAAAAAGTTTCTTCCAACCAATAACCAAAACAATCAACTATCTCTACAATTGGGAACAATTAAAACTAATCATTAACAATTTATACTCGATTCTAGAAAAATAATACGAAAAAATTAATTTGTTATCAATTTACAAAGTTTAATTTCTGTAAAATTGTAAATATCACAACGATTAGAGTTTAAAATGTACTTTTATTAATATTTAAATATTGGAATCAAGAGTTTGAGTGATTAACTAAATCTCAACAAATTGTAAAAAATATTTCAATCATTTTAATCATAATCAAAGTAATAACAGTGAATTTTTTTTAATTCATGTTAATCACTGTTTTCCCATCAGAAAATTTTGTTTTTTATCATAATAATAATAAAATAATAAAGTTGATTAGGTTTGGATTACTATAAAGAGAGAGAGAAGTAAAAATCGTAATTAGAATGATGAGAAAAAAAACAAAACAATATCGGAATTAAATCTAATTTCTGACAATGGAAATTAAAACTTGATAAAATTGATTAATTAAGAAAAAAAAAGATGAATGATGATCATTGATTAGCCTAAGAAAATCTTGATGTCTCATAATTTGCACAAATTAAATTTGTTCAATCGTTAATTATATGTAATTAATACTGAACTGATGGAATGGACTTAAAAAAAGTGATCAACTGAATCACTCAAAATGATTGTTGGTGTTAATTGTTTCACTCTGAACCCTTTGATCCCATGTTGGGAATATAATCTCGAGCCATGAGACAGGCGAAAACGGTCATCACCATCTTGCTTTTCACTTCGGTGATATCTTCGGGTAAAGCGTAAATTCTGGCACCAATTTTACGAGCCATCGAAATGGCGTATTTAGCATTGGCAAGTTTTTCCTAAAGGCGAAAAAGATATGAAACAATTAGCAACGATCGTTGAGTAAATTGAGACAACAATTAAATACTAACCTCATCATCGGAACATTTTAAAACTTGACTATAGTTAATCGATCCTGGCTTAATGGCATCAATGAGATCAATTACTGGCAAAGCAGTTGATAAATTGGAATCGTTGAAGCTTTTGATTATCCACTTTTTATCAGCTTCTTTCCACTATTTTGAAGGGAAATCAAATTAATTAATGATTAGTTAAAGTTTTGATTATCTAACTATCTTATAGAATTTTTTGCTGACCAACCTTTTTGTTTGCCCAATCAACGATTTCCTTTTCAGAAATGGCCTGTCCTTCACTATTGCCGTCACCACTTCCTGATGCAAGTTGGGTCAAAATGCTTAAAGTATAAGCTCTCATTAATTGCCAAATTAAGGCCAAGGTCAGGGTTGGATTTCCTTCAACAATGTCTTGTCCAGCAATTCCAACCAGAGAGAATCTTAATTGTTTACCAAGTTCAACGGCGTAATTACAGTTTTCCAATTTTTCCATTAGACTTTTAAGGTTACTGAATCGACTGTGAACTCGCTTCCAGTTAACGACTCCTGGTTTGATTATGTCAAAAATCTGGAAGATTATCAAACCATCGGCTAAATCACTGTAAAGCCAATTAACGAATGGAGAAACACCCATTGAGTTAATCCAATTTCGATAGGTTTTCTCTTCTCTGTTCTCCTCAATATCAACCAATTCCAAGGGTTCATCGGGTTTATCGAGACACGGGTGGGTATTGAAAAGATTGGCGACAAAAGCGACATTTAATTTATAAACACCTTCGACAACATCATTGGGGGTCAAGAAACTTCTACAGCCCAATTTATCGGCTTGTTTAAGCATAATTTCCGCTCGATCAGTTTGATTGGGTTCCATAAGGGCTTCCATGGAGATTGGAATACCTCGAGGGGCAATTTGTTTAATTAGATGAGTATAAACAACTGAGTCTTTAATGTCACCGGTGAAATTGTTAATTCGTCGGTCAACTCCAGCTCTTTCCATTTGATAATTAACCCAACGAAGTAAAATATTTTCAGGGGACAATTTAATCAGGTCGGAAAGCTCTTCATCGGGACGAAGAAGCCGAACCAAACCGGGACATTGTTCAAGTGTAATTTGATTGAATAAACCGATACGAATAATTTGCCAAAGTAAACCAAGGGTAAGATGTTGTTTTCCTTGACTCAAATCGTGGGCATCAATGTTAATAATATTACAACCAATTGATTGCGCTGAATTAAGGGCCAAAGTTAAATTTTCATGTTTAGTGTAGACGGTTAAATTTTTCTTGTTAATTGCTCGCTCATCAATTGTCTCCGGGCAGGAATGATTAATAATTTTACACAAAAGGATACCGTCTTTGACTTTATCGTAAAGTTCACGTCCATTGGTGTCAATGGGAAGGATGTGTTTAAGATCGGGATCGTTTTTTAAATTAGAGTTAATCCAATCGGAGAAAGCGACCTGTTCCTCTTGACGGACGGAATGAGTTGTACCAGCGGAAGATGCGGCTGACATGCCACCGATGGTTTCCAAGTTTTCCGGCTTGGTAACGGCTTTTTTAAAGGTATTGGCAACATCTTTGGACTTTAAATCGTAACATAATTGTTGAAACTCCTCGAAGGACAATTTACCCTCTTTCTGAATTTTGGCCTGTTTTTCAAGCTCACTAATCATCTGACGGATCTCCCATTGAGGTATTTTAAACCCGACGACATCAAGAGCCGATTTTAATTCTCGCATATCAATGAAACCATTTCCATCCTGATCAATCTGAATTGGAAAAGGAAATAAAAAAAATAAACAACAATAAATATAATTGATTATAATTAGATTGTAATCATCATGAGAATTTCTTAATTTAGTCATAAACTGATCTAATATTGATTTACAATTGATTCAATTCAATTAATCACACACACACACACACACACATACAGTTGACAATAGGGAAAAAGTAAATACAATCAACAATAAATTGTTTACATTGATTGTGAAAGTTTTAACTGGATTATCAAATTATTTGATTTAAAAATAGTTTCACAATTAACTGTAAATAAATGTAATCACCATGTTAGCCTAATAATAATCGTGATGAGACAAGAATTATTAATTTTTTTTTTACTTCTCTAATTGTCAATTGTGATTTGAACAATAAATTGTTATGGATTAATTGTAATGATATTTTTCCACTCGAACAATTAAACTTGTCTCTACTTTTTCACTCTTCTACTGATTGTATTTGTTGATTACGATTTCCGTTGTTAATCAAACTAATTAAATTAGAGTAATACTCATGTATTAATAATAAGTGTTTCAATTATCAACTGAAATGAGTTAATAATAAAATACAATCAACAAATTGCTCACCCCTTTTGTGTCATCAATGTATTAACAACAATCATCATAATCATTTAATTAAATGAAAATTATGATTCATTGATTAATCATTCTCATATTTAATTGATAGATTTTCACGTAAACAAAACAAAGTCTTAATTAACTGATAAAATTATCGTAAAAATCAATGTAAACACAATCAAATTTAATGATTGAGAAAAGCGAGCAATTAATCAACATATGGTTACTATTTACTTTTACTCTTTCCTGTTAATTTAATTGTCTCATTTGAAATGGAAAATACATCAAACAAAGATAAATATCATTAATGAATCTATGGTAATTACGATTATCATATTATCCATTCAACAATCAGAATTGATTGTTAATCCTGAGTTTTTGGGATGAGAAAATTTCTCATTATCGGTAAACTTTACCTGTAGAAATGAATACAAATCCAATTCATTACGAAGATAATGAAAAGCGACATTTGAAAATTTTGGAAATTTAGAATAGGCGTTTTTTAATCAAAATCTTTCTCTAATCAATGGTAAACTCTCTTCTATTAATTAGTTTTAATAGCAGGATGTTTTGATCCGGTTTAGTGGAATCACTTTTCCCGTTTACAATCAATTTTACCTCTCACTTGGTTTCACTCTGTTTCTAAACCTCAAATCCTGCAATCAATTCAACAGACAATTTGAAACACTTTCCAGATTAATGATTAAGTGTAACTAAATTACATTTACATGGATATTTCAAGTTTAAGGGCTGATCACTTTTTCTGTTTTTAAAACAGCAAAAAGAAACTAAATTGTAACGATAACATTTAGATTAATGTTAACTCTGAGAGGTCAGTTAATGTGTATCAATAGACTGACCAAAAGTAGAAAAGGTCAAAAAGAAAATGGAATCGTTAGATTAAGATTAACCAGAGAACTTTTTCTTAATCATGATAAATACACACACACACATAAGCACTTGAGAGAATTAGCAAAAGAAAAGGAATAGATAATAAGATGAGTAATCTGATGATTAGATTGTGATGATTAATTGTGAAAAGGAAAGAGGATTAAATGTAAAAAAAAGAATAGAAAATAATATGTAAACAAAGACTTTACCGTATCAAATTTTTCTACCAATTCTTCCCTTTGTTCATCGGTGATTAACAAGCTTTTTCGGAAATTGGCCATTGTAGTGATTTAATTGTTCTGTAATCGATTAAATTAAAAATAGATTTAAAGAAGAAAATGAGAATTAAGTTAAATCACTTGAGAGGAATTGAAAAGATTATTGTAAGAAATGAACACAGAGGGAAAGAGTGAATCAGATTGATTGAGAAAAACAATTATCAAAGTGAAGACACAAAGTGACAAATAACAAGAACAATTTAAAATGGAGGATAGGGTAACAAGTGTACGATTTAACAATCAAGGAAATTAAGATAATTAGTATATAAAATAAAAAGAGACTCAATTAACCAGAGAATGATAAATGAACAGCAATCAACAAGAAAAGAGTAACAGTTAAATAACAACAAACATCAAAGTGAGAGAGAGAAAAATGTTAGAGGGAATTTTAAATAGAATAAAATTTGACAAAAGAAAAAGAAAAATGAGAAAAAAAGAAACAGAGAACAATTAAGGATTGATTTTCTCCGGAGAAAACATTCAATCTACAATTAGTTAATTAGTTAATCAACTTACCTGAATAATTTACCAGAGATTAACAATAAAAGGTAATAATCAATATTCACACAAACAATGTAACGTAATTAACTTCGGGTTTTCAGTTATGTGCTGGCAAAGATGAACCGGTGTGACGACCTCTCCATCTATTTAAATGACTCTCTCTCTCTCTCTCTTCTTTATCATCATCATTTTCATCATTTTCATCATCATCATCACCATCTCATCATCATGAGCATCATCATCATCTTTTTATCATCATCATCATCAGGTAGCCACTCCTATGAAGGCTGGATATGGAAACTTTTTAACTCAACATTTGTTAAGTCAATTTGCCTTTTTTGGAGAGTTAATTGTTGATTACAATTAAACTAATCAATTTCTAATCACTTGATTGTTTACAATTTACTCTGTTAATTTATCATGTCTTTTCATGAACATCATGGTGACAATTTAACTTAATTGTTGGCCTTTTATGTTAACTATAATTTGTTGTTGTTGTTGTTGCTTTTTTATTATTATTTTTTTTTAATTTAGTTACTTGATTGTTTATCTAAATCCGTTTATATTATTTGATTTGGTAATTTAATTAATTGTGTCAACAAGATTTCATCCCCATCAAGTTCAACAAGTTTAACACATCAATACCCTATGGACAGTATTTACTGTCCAGTGTAGTGGTCAGAGTCCACCAGGAACTCAATTAAATTTAATTTCATTAGACAATTAACTTGATCACTTGAAATGGTTCAATTTGTTAATAATCATTTGTTGTTATTATTATTTGCCGATAGCAATTTGTAACATTTATTTGATTGTTAATTTAACATCGTAAAGGGCGTTTAATTGTTTGGCTGTTAATCGTTTTTAATTGAAGACACAGAAAATAAAATTAAGAAGCAATTAATTGATTAAACAGTTATCAGAATTGTATCAATAATTGATTTGGGATTTTGCTTATTTTTTTTGTTTCATCTTCGTCATTAATATCCAGGCAATTTGTCAGAATAAAAAAAATTAAAAGTTCTTTTAGTTTGAGTTTGATAGTTGATACTAATTGTTGGTTGATTTGTTGTTGTTGTTGATGATGATGATGATGAGCATGGAAACAAAAACAATTGATTAAAATCATGCAACTACAATTATCGGTAATTGAATTGAACAAAATTATCAATTACCAGATGAAAATATACATTTAACTATAATGAGTTTGTCTTTTTTGTTTATATCGCAACTACTTCAACTTTTGTAAATTTAAGCCATAGTTTTAACAATCAACTTATTTTCGTTGGCAATTTAAGCTGTACACAATAATAATAATAATAGTATGATAATAATTAAGAATCAAGTTGATGATTAATGAAGAAACGAGACCCAAAGGCAAGGAACATGAAGAGGTAAAGTTGAAGATGGGATTAGATAACAGGGAGGGAGATTACATGATGATGAAGACGATAACGATGACAATGGTGATGCACCAAAAAGAGGGACAATTAAGGTCAATTATTAATATAATACATGAAATAGTTAATTTTTGTTTGTTAATGGCAGCGAAAGGGAAGCAAGATGAGAAGCGATTGAGGTATCTTTGTCATTCCTTTCATCAGGTTTTCTTGTGTCTTTTTTTTCGTAATCGTCAAAGTAATTGATTCAAATTGTTTATCTTCTTCACTTTTATCTATTTTTGATTAACTTTTTTAAATTTTGAGAATATATATTTATATCACTCGGGAGTTTTTCCTCTTGTAATATTATCTTCCTTGAACTTGGTCGTATTGTTTATCTCGAGTTGTGTTTTTTACGATCTGATTCCAACTAGTTTTCACTTGTTTTCTTTTTTTCGTTTGTTTGATCTTCTTTATCTGTTGCATTCCCTGTGATCTATTCAACACTCAACATGAGTGTTTTTTTCCTTTTGTTTACAAAAAAAAATGTTATTAAGCTAATGATATAGCAGGAGCAACATTGTTAACTTGATGGACAACTGATGCATCGGGATATGGGTTGTCTGGGAGTCTATCGGGTTGATTATGGCCATATGATTGTGAATCGTCAGTTAAAATGGCTGAGGTAGCTGTTAATACCAATTGTTGGAGAGGTTGGATAAGGGTTAGGGAGGGTAAAGGTCGTCCAAGGATTACGTTGGTGGGTTGTGTTTCTGTGGCACTGTTTCCGATAAAATTATTGTTATTACATATTCTCTGAGAATTAGATCCTGGACTGGCAACGGTTGGTGTGTTAATCAGATTCATCGCTCGAGAGATTGGACCATATTTAGAGACAAAAGGTCTCTCATCGAACGGTATGAATTGATCTTCATCGGAAGGCAGTGCGGCAGTTGGTAAGGTGAAAGGTGGACGAGGTGATAAGTTTGGATGCGTTTCAAGGGCGATGGGTGAGATTTGAGTTGATATGACCCCAGTTATTTTGGGTGAGCTTAATATGGCCGTGGACACAGGACTAGGATGATGATGGCGATGACCTGTGTTTGGGTCAACCAAGATTGTAGGAATAGCTGTAAGGGCGATAGATTTAGATGAAACTGAGTCACTGTCGATAGGAAACTTTGAATGTCCAGCAATAAGATAAGGAGGAGAGACAGTAATGTGATGATGGTGAGATAAGGTTGAAGTTGTGAGCGGAGGAGGATAACCTGTTGGATGGTAAGAGTTTAAAGCAACAGGAGGAGAAGGAGGTGAGGTCAATTGGGGATGAGAGACCAACGAATTCATGGTACGATTGGTTATAATGGAAGAACAAGGTCGATGAGTAACAACGTCTTTTGGCCGAGCTGGAATAAGATGAAAGGTCGATTTCTCTGTAGGACTTTGAATTGGCGATGAAGATGATTGGCTGATTGTTGATGAGACAAGAGGAAGTGATTTCACTCTACCAACTCGATTTTGAACCAAATTACTTGGAAGAGTGGTGATTGAAGGTGACCTGTGATTGGTATTAGATCGGAATAATCCTGAGGCATGGTTGTGCAGAAATTCAATTAATCGAGCAGTGACAATTTTTGATGATTCCAGGATTGAAGATAATTCAGCATGACTTGGATGAGTAGGATGCTCTGTAAAGTAAATAATATGATAAGTAAACATTGAGAAACAATTGATCTAAAATAAGAAAATAATAGTGAATAAAAAGACGCACCATTATTAATACCCAAGTCAATGTTTGCTAACTTTTCAAAATGTTCCTTAAGATTGGTCAGTCCTGCTGGGTCACCAGTTCGTTGAAGAGCAGCGATCAATTCAGTGATTGATTGTTGAAAAGATGATGGCGATTGCAACTAAATGAGCAAAAAAAGATACAGAAAAAAAAATTAAAACCAAAAAATAAACCAAATGATAAGATTAAATTGAAATTAAACCATCTAAAGTTAACAAAATCTCACTAAAATTAATCATTTACAATCATCACGCTCAAAGATTAAATCAAAGGGTTAATGAGTTCTGAATCAACTAACAAGGATACAATATATCACAATTAAATGAATAATGAATCATTTCAGGATTAAGTAAACAAGCAACTAATTAATGAAATAAACCGATAATAATAATGGACAAAGTGTCAACAACAATTAAATCCTTGTAAATTTAAAAAAAATTAGACCATCGTTAAAATTAAATTAAGGGCAAGTTAATTAGTATGATTGAAAAAAATATAAGGTATGAATTTAACTTAACAATTATTGCATAATCATTTTCAATGAAAATCAGATAATATAAATCATAAAACTTTCATCCAAAGAAATTAAGGATTATTGCTAATGATTAATAAAAGTTAATTGCAAGATAAGATTGTAAAAGAGATGAAAATATTTGATTAAATGCTTACAGAGTCGATGATGGATTGCATGTGTGATTTATGAGCTAGATCACCGTAAAGAAGAGATGACCATTGGTCAGGTGATATTCTTAAACCTGCTTCCAGAGCGATTGTGACAATTTGATTATCGTGTTCTCGTCTTAGAGCATCATAACTGCGATACTCTTCTTTGAGCTGCATTAAACTCGAATCACCGTCTCGTTTGGTTAACTAAAATAATTGATTTAGATTATTAGTGAAATATTTTCAATGGAAAATTTTAATTAATAATCTAGAGGAAAAGTCAACTCACTTTAAAACAACTAGCTCGATATAGTAATTGAATAACATGACCGATTGCTGTTTTACTCGCTTGATGGGGAAAATGAGGTGACAATCTTTGAACGACAAACATAACGAGTACTTTTCGGGAAAGTGCGCTCCCATCTTCGAGGGCTAACAAAACAAGTCTCAGAACTTCCTCTTGCATTGCAGGTCCCAGAAATTGGCAGCCACGGGCTCGAACAGCAGCCCAAAGATTGGCACTAGAAAAAGATTGAAAAAACAAAAGTAGAAAGAAAAGATTAAAGTTAAAACGAATCAAGTAAAGAGAGAGATAATTTTAATCATATATTGATAAAATATCTCGATATTAACTTACCTCAATGTACGAGGATCTTGGTGTTTAATGAGAAGCTCAGATAAGGCTCTTTCCCCGATGGAACGAGCATTTCGCATAGCTCTTAATCTACCTTCACCTTCAACAAGTTGACATTGTAAAAGACTAATTAACTTCCTTTGCATCGGACGGGACAATGCTATTGGTCAAGTGAGAAAAGAATATACAAAAAGAATGAGTTTTTCCTATTGTTAACCAATAATTTGAGTCATGGAGTTTGCGAGGTAAAATATTGAACGAGAGAGAGAAAGAAAAAGTAAGACCATAATATACAGGTTGTATTGGTAATACAAGTATCAAGTTGTAATGGAAATGACTATCTACTTGTAGATAGAAACAAGCAAAGGAAAACTAGAGTATTGATAAAAAGAAAGCAGTAACGATAGAGAATCCATAATAACTACTGATAAGATCTGAATAACGGTTTTCAGTTGCACAATTGGGTCAGAATAGGTGTAAAAATAAATGATTAGTCAAATAAAGTCAACAATTAGAATGGAAAAAATAGCAAATGAAATGAAATGAAAAGAGTAAAGCACAAGACATAAGGTAAAGATGTTAAATCTCTTGCCATCTCTTCATCTCTTAAATAAAATTAGGTAACTACTTACGTGACTGTTGAGGTTTAAGGAATGAAGAAGTCATATGTTTAATTGATTCTACACATTTCAAATAATGAGGAAGATCTTCTGGTGATATACCAACAGATGATAAATCAACAGAATCAATAGGCAAAGGGCCATGTTGATTAACCATTGTTTCCTCGTTCAACATGGAACGAGAATATCTACTGTCCACAGGAATCATCACAAACTAAACCATTTGACCAACTAGATGACTTTTTTTATAACCAATGAGGAGAAAAGAAGATAAACAAAAAAAAATAAAGAGAAATAAAAACAATGATTAAATTAGAAGAAGAAGAAGAGAAACAAAACATAATAATAAATACAAAGAGAAATGAATAAGGAACATCATTTGTTTACATTTTGAGAAAAAAAAATTCTTTTCATGATATTCTCTAAATTTCCATCAGATGGCAGATCAAGTCTGATGGAGTTTTTTCTGTCACTCATTTTTTGTTGTTCGGTTCCTTGTCTCTAATAAGCTTATCACAAACTAAATCAAATTTAATTTACGCTAAATTTGTCCTTGAAAAAATGATCTTCAATCCATTTGGTTCCATATGATAAATGGCTGGTATTTTCTTTTCTCTTAAAAACGAGAAACGGTAACAGAAAAATGGGTAAGAAGGAGATGATGAGATTTCTTATTGAGATTGTGATTAATCACTTTTTTCATCTTCTTTTTTTTTATTCTCTTCTTGATTTCAACTGAAGAGAAGAAAAAGAGGTTGAATATCTCAACAAGATGCCCTAATAATGTGGTAAAATATTCTCAACATTTTATCAAGATATTAAGAAAAGAATATTAGATATGGTCAATTATCTAAGGAGATCCAACGTCAGAGACATTCAAGTGACCATATTCTGTTTTTAATCGGCTCTTTAAAGAGAGAGAGAGGAAATTTCTACTTACCAAGATTAATTTTCTATTGATTTGATAGAGAAAATGGTTTGGTAAATTAGAAACACTCATGGTTAAAGATGTAAACATATTATGGTGATAAATAATTAAGAGAAATTGAAAACAGTGAAGAGAATCAAAAAATCTCAACTCATAACAAAACCATCAACAAGTTAAGAGCCTGAGGTTTTCTTGTATTAAACAGATTCAGAGATTAACATGGAAAAATTTGTAAAGTTCCAATTGCCAAACAAATTTAAGATTATAACTTAATTTAACTGAACTTAGTAAAAAAGAAATAAATAATTAACAATTGAAAGAATTGAGCAACAATTTAATTGGGAAAAAAATCTAATCAAAAAATTCATCAAAAGGATCTAAGAGACTCTTATGCCGACAGAGAAATAGAAAGAGGAATAAAAAGGAGCCAATTTTGAATCGAATATGAAAAAGAAAATCAAATTAAACCTAATTTAATTTACTAAATCCAAGGAAATGTAAATAATATCATGAGAAGACCCTAGTATTGTCTTAACAAGTTATAATGGCGATTAATCAAAATCATAGAAATCAATTGAAATTAAGATAAATTTTTAATTTCGAAAGCCAAAAACTCAATCGTTCTAATCATCGAAGTTGATTATTGGTGTAAACCGAAATCGGGTGTTAATCGATTAATCTTTGGTGCTAATTGGGATTAGTTAACATCCTCTCCACTCCAATACCAACCATCTGTTTTTTAAGGTCAAAATTGCGACAAAAACCCTTACCACAAGCTTTACAGGTATAAAGTTTCTTGTCGGTGTGAGTGTGCATATGAAAGGTCAAATTGTATACCTGGTGAAAGGCTTTACTACATTTCTCACATTTCCCCGGAATGAGTTAATTTGTGATTCTTGTAGTTTCCCTTTTGGTGAAAACCTTTACCACAATACTCACAAATCCAGGGTTTGTATCCGTTGTGGATTCTCATGTGGGTGTTAAGGGTTGACGATCTGTTGAAAGCCTTAAAACAGGTGACACATTTGTGGGGTTTCTCAGTGGTGTGGATTATTTTGTGACGACATAAAGTTGACGCTTGGCGAAAACCTTTACCGCAAACTTTGCAAACAAACGGCCGAGCCCCGGTGTGGACTGGCATGTGACGGGTTAAGTTATAATGTGCATTGAATATCTTCCCACTCTAAACATTTTACCAGCTGATTTTACACCGTTGTTGTTGTTGTTGTTGTTGTTGTTGTTGTTGTTAGTGTTGTTATGGGTGTTGAATGAGAATGATGGCCAAAGAGTAGTAATTATTGAGCCGATTAATGAAAGTCTTAGAAATTGTTTGAAAGATTAAAATTTTCAACTCGAAAGTTAAAAGTTTGATCGTTCAAATCATAGAAGTTGATAATATAAACCGATTTTACATGTAATGATTAAGAAACCATTTTGATTTAAAAACAATATGATTCGATGTTACCTTAATTGTAACATTTTGATCATCTTTCTAATTACTGACTAGATTACATTCATCCATTGAAATGAATTAATGACAAAGATTAACAAGGGAACAATTAACAATCGTTAATTGTTATAAGCGAAGAGAATCATCAATAGTGAAAGATGATCAGTTTGACATAATAACAATCAAGAGAAACAAAATGTGGTAAACAATTAATATAGAAGACAATTTATAATCTAACTAATCAACGTGTAAACAACTAAATCACTTGAAATCAAAGTGAAAATGATTAATCACAATTGATAAAAGTAAAACTCTTGAGGTGAGAAACAAATAAAAGTAATCAGAGTTTTCTTATTTTTTTGTTTCAATCACAAATTATTATCATCAGAATTAATTGTTAGATTAACATTTAATCAACTTACACTGATTATTGTCCTGAAAGTGACAATCAAATGAGAATTATGATGAAAATTGATGATGAGTTAAGATGAACAAGGTTCTAGCAAAAGGTTAATATCAATAAAAAAGATTCCAAATGATTAAGTTTCCAAGTTCAATGTCATGATAACAATTAAGCTTTTCTATTGCGAAAATCTCACATTTATATTGAAATCATTTCCATGAACTATTTCCGGTTCTAAAGAAAAGAAGATGAGAGATTAATTGTCATAAGAAAATCAATTGTAACGATTATAAACTTTTACCGAAATGTTAATAACATTGAGAGGAGAGGAAACAAAAATCAATAAATTGTTTCAATCGAAATCATTATTATTTATTTTTGGAATGATGATTAAAAGGAGGATAATGGTGGTGTTGGTGGTGGGAGTGGGTTGGGGTGGCGGAAGAGGATAAACGAAATACATAATAATTAATATTATCGTTATTACATTGTTATTATTATTTACAAATTGTTGTGATTGGAGATGAGAATGAAACTTAAGATGAAGAGAAACAAAAAGTAGAATGAAAATTAAAAAGAAAGCAAATTAATCAATTAATTGCTTGTGATAATCAATTAATCAGTGTGTATGTGTATATGTAAGACTATGAGAATGATAATCATAGAAAGAAAGAAAAAAAAATTAGTTAATTATAGTAATTAAGAGATGATCTTCCTCCGATTGATGTTTCCATGTTGTTGTTTACTGTTGATTTTGTGAATGGTATTTGCTGTGTATTATTTTTACATATGTATTTATATTCATAATAATTAATAATAGTAATAATAATAAGATAATGATAATAGTAATAATTAATTATAATAATAAGAGTCTATTATTATAATAATAATCTCTCCAGGTAGTTAGGCTTTTTCTTGTTGATTAGTGATCCTGAAAAGATGTTGGCAGATGAAGATGATTTATCATCAAAGGACAGAGAGAAAAAAAAAATTTGCTTGACCAATTGAGTTGAATTGCGGTTAATTGTTGTTATCACCAATTTTCTAAGGTCACAATTAAAGTCTTAGGTCAATTGTCGTCTTCGATTTTCATTTATAAAATCAAAGATTTTCGGGAGAAATGGTTTGAGGTAAACAGAAAACTACCCGGAAGAATCAACAGAAGATGATGAAGTTTATGATGATGGAGATTATGAAAAAGCTGATGAACATGATGGAGATGATGAAGGTGATGATGATGATGCTGATGGTGGTGGTGATGAAGATGAAGATGCGAAAAAATTAAACAAAAAACGAGAAGAAAGAGTTACAGGACGTTCCATTGGCGATTGAAAATTATTCGTGTTACTTTATCAATTTGTATTCCATTCAAATTGTTTGATTACTTTTTCTTTTAATTGTTATAACAATGGGCCGATTGATTTTTAATCATCAGAGAGGATCAACATCAGGAATTAAGGAAGTTTCGCCGAGAGTGTTAATTGTTTTGTTTTTTTTCTCCGTTTAATTAAAACTAAATTAGCAAATTCCTTGTGTTTGTGTATGTGTATGTGTGTATGTATGTGTATGTTAATTGTTGTCTTTTGTTTCCTTGTTAAATAATATTAATAGTAATCATTTTATCCTTTGCTTTCAATTAACTTTCTCAAATGATTGAACAATTTGAATTGCAACAACCGCTGCTCCTTTCTTTGCTTTTTTGGCGTTGATCTGTAACAATTAAGAAAAAAAAAGTACAGACAATTAATAAATTATATATAAAAGATTAACAATCAGGTTGATAGTAATTAATAATTGGATAAGCTTTTATGATAAACTATCAGACTTAAGTAACAATTTACAGACTCATTCAGACAATTAAAAGCTTGAAAATATTACATATCAATATATTAATAATGTTGATTAGTAAATTAACTGATTGTGATCAGTTAATTGTTATGGTAAAATGATTAGTTCTTATTTTTCTGTTTATATTAATTGTTGACATAATTAATTATACAGTAGACATGATAAAGTTAAATAGTTTCTCTTAAAAGTGAAACTAATTTACCAAATCAATGAATAATTTAACTAGAAATGGTTAGTTAGTTAATTTATCAAGGATGATAATGATTATGTATCAAGTTAATCATCTGAGATTGTCATTTAATCTGTATACGTAAATGCATATATATTATTTCATGATTAAGATAATGATCAAGGTGAATCAATTAAATTTGTAATGGTTAACTAAATATAATAACAATGTGATCAATTGAATAACCTTGACCTGATATTATTAAATCAATACAATAAAACCATAGACATAATAAAGTTAACCAATTTAAGTTGATTAGTTGAAATTTAATGTTACCATTAAAATAGTAATCAACATGGTTGTTGATATGACCATTAATTGTCAAGGTTAATCGGTAACAATTTAACCATTTCCAATGAACACTTACTGAGTAATTGTTACGATACTTTTAATAATCACTATTGATTCATTAATCAATTAAATTAGTTTAATATTATAATAGCTTCCGTTGATATGCTAACAATGATTAACAATTAAACATTTTTCCAAGGATTAGTTTGATAATAACAATTAGTTAATCATTGTAACCCAACCATCATGTTAATAGTTGAATGAAAAATTGTAAACAAAACAGTTAAACAATTAACTAAACAGTGACAGGTAATTTACCTTAAATATATTACAGTTACAATTTAATTACGTTAACTAATCATAATTAGTGTACATATTGTTGATTAATTTCAATTAGTATGGTAGTTAAATCAATTAACAGTAACAATTAAAAAAAAGATTAAAGTGAATCTCAAATTGTTTGAAAAAAGTAAATTAATTGTCACCAACAACATTTTTGTACAATCAATTAATTCATTGAGAAATTAATTGCAAATTAAAGCGATGAACAAAATTAAAGTAAAAGCAATTAGATTAACAATCATCAAATCAACAATGAGATACAATTAAATCAGTGGAAAATAAGAAAACAAGTAAACAATCAACTAATTTTCAATTAATCGGCTTTAATTGATTGTAGGTAAAAACGAAACAAATTATCAACAATCAACTTAAACGTAAAAACTTTTGTTACCTTTGAACAGTTAACTAAATTATTAATAATCTAATGACATGTTAATTATTCCCATTGAAAAATAAAAGGTACAAATTTAACTTGTTAATTGTCATTAAATGAATCATTAAATTTTCACTTTCATTACAATAAATGAATTAGAATGTCATTTGAATAGAGAAACTCATCCAACTGATAATGATGATGAATTAATATATTAGGTAAACACTAAAGTTTTTTCCGTTTTTGCTTCTACATATATGATTATTAACCTGGAGATTGGTGCTCTATGGAACTTTTAGTGTTAAATCATTTTTTGTTAAAATGGTAATTTCTCTTTTATTTAATTACCAAAATTCACCAAATTTTCAGTCAAATTAGTCATATAATTAGACAACAATTTAAGTTTATTAAAAAAATTTTGAGGTCATTTTAAAACGGTGAAAAGTGGCCTGAAAAGTAAGTAATCGAAAACCAGAAAAATAACCTTTTACAAAAATTTTAATTGTAATTTTTTTAATTGTTGTAAATTAACGCAAATAGTATCATTCGAAAGCCTGATTCCTGAGCTTTAAAATAGAGTTATTTTGATTTTTAACTCAATTCTAATTTTCTTGTTAATTAATCTTAAATAAAAAATGAAAAAAATCGGAAAAAACTTTAGTGTTTACCTAATAAACATATGATGAATAGAGGATGAAGATAAATGATGAAATAGAATCAAAAATAAACTCTTTTCATGATAAACTGATGTTCATCATCATTGTTAAGGGATTAGGCTTTATTTGTGTTGTAATTATCTTTAAATATACGCGCTTAGAACACAGCGACACCTTTGTAATCATTTTTACGTAAACTCTTGTATATATTAAGGTGAATTGGATTGAGAACTCAATCCACTTGAGTTACCCTTTAATATACAATTACCCTTGTACTTCAATTATGTTTCACTAATCACCTTAATTACTTTTGATTCAACCTTTACTAACCTCTAATCCTATCCAATAATCATTAAGCTTTTGTACCTTTTGAAATAATTACCTTTCGTTTATTAAAATCTACATTTCAAAACTGATTCGATCTATTGTCAATGTTGTCCTTACAAATGGTGGAGATGCCTCGTGTTTCAGTGAAGTGTTATTTTGTCGCAGTGATCAGGCGGTGCTAAAGATTAAGGTTCAGTTTTGGATTGGATGAATTACTTCATCCAAACCTTTTGACCTTCATCAACCAGCAATAACAAAGGTTAGGATAAAGTTACTTTCCTATAACTTCAATTGAGAGATAGAGTTACTCTATCTCAGGTGCACGTCTTAGACAATAAAGCTATATATGTATTGATAGGTTTGGAAGGTGAATTCAGGAAGAATCAATAAACAAATAAATATAAACCTTTATCAGTTTTATATTTCCAATTGAATTTTCTGAAACCACGTTTTCAAAATCACAAAAAAAAGCCAAATAACAGACTCTCATTCATAAAATCAAAGTCAACTTTAAAGTCACAAGTATAAACCAACTATTAATCATCAAAATCTACATCATCTTTACAAGTCACAAGTTTGAACATTACTCATCAATTTAAAGAAATAAAAGCAATTGTTAATCAACTACAAAATTCATTGTATTAAAATGCAAGCCAGTGAAGGTAGCTTATCGTCGTCTCAAAGGCTAAAGAGCCGCGATTGAGGACTCAATCGCGAGCAATTAGTTACAGCAGCAAATGAATGGGGAATCATCAAAGTGAATAGTAAAACGAATGAGATGTTGGGACAAGAGTTAATCGAAGCTCATGTTGTTCAATATTTATACGAAAACGCCGATATTCCTGATCAGATCGATATAAAGAGAGATGTTCCAATAAAGTGGCAGGATGGAATAAAGTTAAGGAGAGATGGTTATACCTTTGAAACGTTAACAAGGTTAATTGAAGCAAAGGTAACAGCTATTGAATCTTTAAGCTTATATACAAGAGATCAATTCATGGATCTTGAAATAAGTTTACCTCAAGCAACAATGTTGGCAAATCAATTCTCTACAATGGATCGATTTTCAAGAATGAATTTCAGACCCAACAACGAAAAGGAAAACAAATTATCAATGGCAGCGATGTTGGCTCGTGATCGTTTAAATAAGAGAGAATTCCCGTCAAGAAACTGTACGTTTTCTGAATTTCTTGAAGCAGTTGAATATGATTTGAGAATTTTAGACCCAACAAAAGAATCGTGGATTGAATATACAACAGTATTACTACAAGGTGAACCGAGAAGAGTGGCTGAGTCGCTAAGACAAAAATCTCCATTTTTATCTTATAATGAATGGAAAGAAGCAGTTCGAGGATCAACAATATCAACTTCGGATGTGACTGAAGCTTTGTATGTTATTCTCCAAAAGAAATACATGTTAACTGAAAATCCTATGGAATTTTTCAAGAAATTTGAAAGTGCAACAAAAATCGTCTATCCGAATGTGGATGATAAAGTGAAATCGCTTTTATTAGCTACAACACTTCCAATTGATCTTCAAAACGAAGTCATTCCAGAAAAGATTGTGATGGATTTAGAAGCGTTGAAAAGCAAAATAATTGGGTATTGGCAGAAAGTGAAAAATTTGAATAAAAGTACAAATGTCAATGAGTCACGAACTCAAGGGCAAAATCAACAACAACGACCAATATCACCAAATTATAAAGGGTCAAGACCTTGGGGAAGTAATCAAGGTTATCAACCAAAAGGTAATCAAGGTTATCAACCAAGACCCCAAAGTTCAAATGGTTATGTTAAATACTGTCCAAGGTGCAATAAAAATGGTCACAATGAATCAAATTGTTGGAAACGAATGGAAGAAGAGGGACAAAAGGTTCCGAATAAACAAGAACAAAGTTCTAATCCAAATCAAGTCAACAATCAAATCCAACAAACCAACAATCAACAACAACGAAACTATCCAAATCAGAATCAATCAACTAACCAAAGGCAAAATAACGTGAGTTATGCTAATTATGATGATCAAGTTAACGATGAAAATGATAAAAATACTATGGGAGTAGCGAAGTTGTTCAGTGCTACAAGATCATCGGATGACGGACGTCATCCAATGATCGATATCAGGGTACTGAACAACCAGGTAACAACGATAAGGGGTCTCATTGATACCGGAGCTTGTACGACTCTAATTAATTTCGATATCGCAAGTAAATTGGGATTTCCAGCTTATCCTTTCAGTCTCAAGTTTCAAGCAATTGATTCTTCTCCTGTTCAATGTGATGCTTTTATCCCGTTACAAGTTTATAAAGGGAATGAATCTACGATAATGGCCGCTTATGTGATAAAGGATCTATCGAATGATATTATCATTGGTGAAAATATCATAAAGTACACAGAACTTATTATCAAGGCAAATGGGCCAAAGAAACCGTATCAACTATTACAGTTCAACAATAATCAAAATTATGAATTAATTATCCAACAACCGAATCGAAATGATTTCGAAAGGTTAATTGTCAATTGGTATGGAGAGAAAGCTGACATGTCCAAAGTTTTCTATTTACCTCAATCATCAAATGAAAGTTTACTTGAAGAAAGAGTCTTCAGGATAAACACAGTGAAATTTGTGGAAACTGAATATCCA